ATTAAAGGATTAGAGAACCTGCCTTTGAGTGAGAGACTGAGCTCTTTGGGCCTAGTTAGCATAACACAGAGAAGGTTGAGAGGTGACTTAATCACTGTCTGCGAGTATCCTAGATGGGGAACAAATTTGATAATGGACTTTTCTGTCTAGCAGAGACGGATCTAATGAGATCCAATGGCTGGAAGCTGAAGCCAGGCAATTTCAGCCTGGAACTAAGGCAGAACATTTTAACAGGGAGGGTAATTAACCACTGGAACAATTGACCAGGGCTCCTGGCGGATTCTCCATCACTGGCCATTTCTAAATCCAGACGGGAGGTCTTTTCTCCGATCTGCTCTAGGGATTATGGTGGGGCAGTTCTCTGGCCTGTGCTGTGCAGTGTCCCAATGGTCCCTTCTGGCCTTGGAATGTAGGATGTTCTGGTCCGGTGCTCGCCCTGCGGTCCATCTCGGAGAGGAGCCGGGAGGCAGACGCTCCCTCTCCCGGGCGCTGGCCTTGGGCAGAGGCAGAGAAACTTTCCCTGCTAAAGCAGCTCTTGAGGACCTTGGCAACACCTGGGCAGGGTGCGGGTCCAGCGCCCCAGGCCTGGCAGGGAGATGGGTCACACTCACAGCTCTGTCGAGGGCTCCAGCTGTCGCAGAATGTGGCTCTGTGATGCCAAAGCAGCAGAGTGGCGCTTGCACCAGTGGGGGGAGGGCAGGGAAGGGACACATGGGCAGACAGTATAAGGATGGCAGCTGGGTGGGGAGGGGGCACATGGCATGGGGAGCGTCGTGGGGGCACCTGGAACAGATGGGGGAAGTGTGGGTGAGTGGGTGGGGGCATGGAGGGGGCCCGTGTCGCCCTCCTCTCCCTACAGCCATGGCTATAAAAGCCTTCGCTCTCCGTGTTACTACAGACCCCGAGTCCCAGAGGAAGAGGACGGTGCAGAACGTGCTGGACCTTCGGCAGAATCTGGAGGAGACCATGTCCAGCCTGAGAGGCTCCCAGGTGTCACACAGGTGAGGCCATGACGCCCGCGCTCTCCCCTCCCCTCCTCTCTCACCTGACCCCTCCTCCGCCACCATGGCTCCTTGCTGGGTCTGATCCCCGAAGCTGAGCCCTTTCTGGGGGGTGGGGACCCTGGTGGGACAAGGGGCTAGTGATGTGGCTGGGCTTCGTTCTGCGGCAGTGTCTCCAGCCCAGGGTGGGGCTGTTCCCCCGGGGGAAAGAATCTGACAGCCCCGGTGTCACCGAGGCCTCTGTCCCAGCATGGAGAGCTGCCATCCTCTGACTCAGGGATGACTCTCACTGCCCCACTCGCTAATCCCTCCAGCCAGTCTCTCTGGAGCACCTCTCACAGTGAGTCGCACCTCGTTAGCAGGTGTATTTCGGTGGCACCCCGAGGCACCAGCTGAGATCAAGGTCCCATTGTGCTAGGGGCTGCCACAGCCACAGAGGGTACATCTGCAGGGCCAAAAAAACCCTGCAGCAGCGAGTCTCAGAGCCTGGGTCAATTGACTCAGGCTTGCAGGGCTAGTGCTCCGGGGCTAGAAATAGCCGTGTTGGTGTTCCCACTCTGCTGAGAGGGCTGGGTCTCCGAGCCTGAGCTCCAGTCTGAGCAGGGATGTCTACGCTGCTCTTTTTAGCAATTTAGTCAATTTAGGCCTGGTCTACACTAGAAAATTTGGCCAGTATAATTATTGCTCAGGGGTGTGAAAAATCCACACTTCTGAGCAGTGCAGTTAAACCGACCCAACCCCCAGTGTAGACAGCACTCGGTCCGCAGGAGAATTCTCCCGTTGGCCTAGCTACTGCCCCTTGTGGACGTGATCTACCTACGCCGATGGGAGAACTCCCCCCCCCATCAGCGTAGGCAGTGTCTTCACTGACGCGCTGAAGTGGTGCAGCGTTTTAAATGTAGACAAGCCCTTAGTCCTGGTGGAAATTTCATGGGGATGCTTGTAGACCCTGGTACACACAAACATGCAGCGGTTTAATTCAATTAGTTTAGTTCAATCGATCAAACCAGTTTTAAAAAAACCCTGTGTGAACACTCTTCTTTCGGGATAAGGGTCGCTTATTTCAGCATGATTTAAACCTGTTCCCAGCTCCCAGTTTGAGAGCAGCTTGTTTTAGAATCAGTGCATCCCCTGGGGGCTTGCACCAGTTTAACTCTTGCTGTAAATTGACACCGTGGCTTATCTCTGTCATGTTGACAAGGCCTGAGATGCAGGGGGTTAAATAGACTTGAAAAACTGTGTTAAATCTGTGCAAATTTCAATATGGAAGAGGCCTAAGAGATTGTCCTAGCCCTGAAAAGCGTATGGTCTACACAGACCTAGTGGGAGGGGAAAGCGAGGCACAGAGAGGGGCCATGACTTGCCCAAGGTCACGTAATAGGGACTAGAACTCAAGTCGGCTGAGTCTTAGCCCTGTGCCCTAACCCCTAGGGCACACTGTCTCTATAGTCATAGCTTTACAGTAGCAGCCCAAACGGGAGTTCTGCCCCCTCTGTGGTGAGCCGTTCTCCTGTGCAGTTGCACTATAGCTGAGGGCAGTGCTGATACCAGGCTCTCCCAGCAACTGGAATGAATTGCTGGTGGAATCTGTAGGCCATGGCACGGCAAGCCCGTGTGTCACCCCATCTGTGAAAGCAGAGCTGCTTGCCCGAGCCGATCACGGGTTTCCCCAGGCTCACCCGGGTACGGTGCTGGAGACACAAGTTTGACTGGGCTCGTGATTCCTTAAGGACACCGGCAAATCCCCATCTGGTTTGGAGAGGAGAAGTGAGCAGGGCAAGGATATGCTTCAAATTCCTCCAAAGCAGGGCACTGGGAACTACCCATGTCAGCCTGCAATGGGGGCTGCAGCCACTAGAGGGTGATGTCAGGCCAGGTGGAGAAGGAGAGAGACACAGGGAAGCTAGTTTGACTCCAGCTGCTCTGTAAAGAGCACAAGGGATGAGCACAGCTGCCCTAGCGGGTTATGACAATAGGGGGACCCCCATGTGTTTATGTCCATTTGAAGCCCCCTTCCCCCCGCTCTGGCTCCCAGCATGAGTTATGCTCTGCCCCACTGGAATAGGGGCTCAGCCAATGCGGGGATTTCATTGGGGAGCCCAGCTAACAGCTCTCACTAGCCTCGCTGCCCCTGCAGGGGGCAGCACAAGCAGCAGGAAAAGGCTCAACTACTTAAAAGCACAAGGGCGGTGGGAGATTAAAGTGCTTTGTTGCAGAGTACGTGGTCACCGCTCCCCCTAGGGGCTGCCCACTGCAACTTCAGCACCGCCAGAGTCGCTCTTCTAACTCAAGGGACTATGTGTTTGGTGCAGAAGGTCCTGGGTGGAATCCACCTCTGACCGTGGTAGCTCTCTGCATCACCTTCCCCACACCACCGAGCAAAGACCAAGCTGTGCCTCTCAGGGAAGAGTCTTAAAGCATTCCGCAATGTCTGGCTCCATATCATTATTACCCCCTTTTACAGGTGAGGAAACTGAGGCATAGAGCGGGGCAGGGACTTGTCCCAGGTAATGCAGTGAGTCAGTCAGAAAGTCGGGAGCCTTCAGAGAGCCCCCCAACCCCTCCAGGAGGCGGGGGAGGTCCCCTAGCTAGACACGGTAACGTGCCATCCCGCTGCTCAAAAACAGCCAGCGGGCAGGGCTGATTCCCCAAGGCCCCCAGCTCCTGCCTCCCATCCTGAGATGCACAGGGCTTTCCTGTGCCAACCCAGCACACTGTCCTGGTGCTGAAGGAAGGAGACTCCTCATGGATCAGAGACCTGGGGCCGACCACACCCATCCCCTGAGTGCTAGGCACCAGGGCCCCCTCCTGGAGATGCATGGCCAGGCCTGCCTGCATCGCGCCCCATGGGGCTGCCTTCCCCAGGCCCTACACAGCAGCAGCTTGTGCTGAAATGGGGCCCTTGGATCCGACCCATCTCCCCTTCCAACCCCTTCACAGCCGGCAGGAGGGAGCCGGGCTGGCTACATGTGGCAGCGCTGGGCTGTACAGGAGAGGTGGGGTGGGAGCATAATTTCTGATCCAATGGGATCTTTCTTGGACCAGCTGCTAACATAGGGGTGGGGGTGGAGTTTCTTGGGTCACCCAGAACCACGCCCCTCATAATTAACATGACACCCTGAGCTCTCCCCCTGAGTGGCCAGGCACATCTCCCCACCCGCAGGTTCCCTCCAAGCTCCTGCCACTGGCTAGCTGGGATTGGGGCATGGGCCTTAGCTGTGAAATGCTGGGCTCAATCCCACGAAGGCCTGGGCCCCCCTTGCTCCAAACAATGGCTGCAGGCTCAGCTCCTGCTGGGTCGGGGGGCTCCGTTAGCCAGCGTGGCCTGTAGCTGGGAGTGCTGGGCTAGTTGGCCCCTAGGCCAGAGTTCTGGGCCTATTGCAGCACAGCTCCGGGGGAGCTGCCTTGTCACGCTGCTTACCCTTGGAGCTGGCAGCCGTACCCGGCTTGAGTAAGCTTTTTCCCCTCCCTGGCTCTGTGGCCCAGATGAGCTAATGCAGAGATAGCAGCTTCTTCAGTGATCTGGGCTGGGGGGCGGCAGGGGATTCTCACTTGGAGGTGATGAGACTGAGCGAGCGGAGCAGGAAGAGGCCGTGCCCTGGTGAGGGGTGGCCAGTGGGAGGAGGGGGGGAGCTTGGGCAGGGTTAGCTCACCACTGAGTCCATGGAATCAGCGGCCAAGTGATAACGGCAGAGAGGCCAGTGATGGGAATGAGGGGTCAAGGCAGCCAGCTGGATTGCAGAGAGCAAGGAGCCAGGGACAGGACTGAGAGACAGGGAGGTCCCTTCTGCATGTGTCATGCAGGGGATAGCTCAGCGAGGGTCCCTTCTGCGGCTGCCTGGAGGCCTGGGACGTGAGCGGCTGCTCCCAGCCGGGTGCCCATTGTCAGGTCTCTGCACAGCATAGTGTCACTATCTGAGCTGAGACCCGTCAGGGCTGTGGGACCCTCCCTGCCCCCGTGGGAGGGACGGGGAGGTGTATTGTGGGGGTGACCCCTGTCTCCGCCTCAGGGAGCTGAAGGACATTTGGGCATGAACCGAAATAAATAACTCAACCATCGCTCCCGCCCCTGTGAACGCCAGCCCCCTGTCTGAGTGGGCTCTCGGGACGAGGAGTCAGAGGGGAAGGCTCCACCCCTCCGGTCTCCTGCAATCCGGCTCCTGGACAGCACCTGTGGCTTCGCCTTCCCATCTTGCGTAACCAGAGTCTCACGCTGGACCACCGTGAGGGCACTCGGGAGGAGGAGAGCTGCCAGCTGAGCTCCACCCGAGATGAGTCAGGGCAGGAGGGGAGGAGGGCAGAGCTCCAGCCCATCTGCTTTGCTTAATGTTTAGCTGGCAGCTCACTAGCAACAGCTTCCTGCAAGCAGCGGCATGGCCCATGGCTCCATGCACCTTTATTCCCTGTGGCGCTGTGTGCACGGAGATGCTGGGGCTCAGAGTGGGGTAAGGTAGACCTGCCTACAAGGAGCCATCCATGCACAAGCTGCTGTGAGCTCATGGGCTGAGCACCCAGGCAGCCCAAGGGGAGCATGCGGAGAACACTTGCTATGCTCTTGCACCAGTCCTGGGAGCACAGCCCCTGGGGCGAGCCCAGAAAACACAGCAGCCCCGAAAGCAGGAGCAGAGGATCATGAGCAGAAACCAGGACCTGACTATGAGCAAGAGGCAGGGATTGCACAGACTGGTCAGGCCTCAGCTGGAGAACTGTGTCCAGCTGTGGGTACCACGCCCTGAGAAAGATGTGGACATGTGGCGAGAGGCCAAAGGGGGGAGACAAAAACGATCAGAGGTTTAGAAAATCTGACCTGCGAGGAAAGATTGAAAGAATTGGGCATGTTTAATCTAGAGAAGAGACGACTGAGCAGGGACCTGAGAAGTCTTCAGATGGGTAAATAATGTTATAAAGAGGATGGTGATCAATTGTTCTCCCTGTCCACCGAGGGTAGATGGAAGGAATTGTCTGAGTTTACAGCAAGAGAGATTCAGGTTAGATATTGGGGAAACCTATCTAAGGGTGGCTAAGCTCAGGGACGGGTTACCTCGAGAGGTTGTGGAATTCCCCTCATTGGAAGTTTTTGCTAACAGGTTAGACAAACACCTGTCAGGGATGGTCTAAGATACAGGGGAATGGACTAGATGAACTCTTGAGAACCCTTCCAGCCCTGCATTTCTATGCAGCAAGCACAGGCCAAGCATGCAGCTGTCACAAGCCAGATGCACGGGAGCTGAGAACGCCGGAAACACCAGCCCAGGCTAGAACACACCCAGGGGTGTGCACAGAGAGCAGGAGACAGATGTACACTAGCCAAGCACTCGGAGAGTACACACTCCATGGGCGCAGTCTGAGCGCATAGAGTCCAACGTGCCTGCACTGGGGACCCACAGCACAAGCCGGGGGGGCACGTGCTCACTGCACGGAAACTGTGAGCCATGTGCACAAGCAGAGTATACAGATGTCAGTGAGCAAGCGGGACACGCCAACACACACAGCACGGTGCAGAAGCTGAGCACTTGAAAACCACGAGGGTGCAAGAGTCCATCACAAGAGCCGAGTGCACTGAAATCACCATCAGGGGCCAGGGGCAGAACACACAGACATGCTGGATGTGCGGGAAATCTGAGCCAGTGGCCAAGGGCCCAAGCAGAGAACGCAGGCACGAGTCAAGGGAACAAGGGACATGTTAGCGCCGAGAGCCTCCCGCTGGAGCAAGGCGTGTGCACCGCCCAGACTGGGCACAAGATCAACACATAGTGAGCCAAACCTGCGCACTGAGCACAACAGACACCGTGTGAGAGAACGGGCCAAGCACGCCGCCTGCATACGAGCATTGGCCAAGCGCACTGCGTGTGGGCTGATGATTTAGTTGGGAATTGGTCCTGCTTTGAGCAGGGGGTTGGACTAGATGATCTCCTGAGGTCCCTTCCAACCCTGATCTTCTATGATTCTATGACTGAGATCACAAGTTAAGTGCGCTGTGCACTTGAGCCAAGTGCAGAAGACAAGTGTGCAAATCGCCAGCTGTACCGCAGAATGTGGAAAACGTTGGTGCACGGTTTGGGGCTGGGCTCCCTGGCTTTTCTTCCATCGCCGATCGATGTCTAGCGCCACTCCCAGCCTCCGATGCGGTGGCTCCCATCCCTGCTTCTCCATAGGTGCCATATGCCCTGGGATCTCTGAGGCCGCTCCCTGTTGCACGCCCATCGGTGGGGAATGTGGATGCGCACCAAGGAGTTGTGGTGAAAGCCCTTTGCTCGCTGCCTGGGTCTGCAGCTAAGGTTTGGGGAATCCCCCAAAACCCCACAGACGGGAGATGTTAGTGGAGTGCCAACTCCTGCAACTTACCCAGTGGTTCTCCCCTCCTCCCACCCTGGCCTCTTCTGCTCTGGTGTCACGATGGGATTATGTCCCAATGCGGCCATCACCCCCCCCCCCCCCATGCAGCTCGGACTTGACTCAGCTTCGCAGCTGATGGAGCTAAGCACTGAATAACCGCAGGGACGGGACTCCCTGTCCCCTACATCCCAGCAGGGCAGGGCAACGGGCGAGGCTGGGCCTGCTCTGTGCCTTAGCAAATGCCCTTGGATTTCAGACCAGTCTCCCTTTGTTCATTGCCTTGTGCAGCCTGATGAGTCACCGAAACAGACAGTGGGACCAATCCCTGATTTAGCCAAGGCCGAGTCAGCCAAGTCTCTCCATCCCCTGCCTACCGAGCCTGCAGGTGTCTAGAGAGTCTGGAGGCATCTCCGTGGAGACTCCCCTGTCTGAAGGAGGCGGGCGCTGGGCAGCCGGGCCACTCAGCAGCAGGAGGAAGTGCAGTGTGTGTACAGTACAATAAGATTGGAGGGGCTGAGGAATTTGGCTGATATTAAAATAAGGAAATAATAGGCTGGTTTGAGTGCATGGCAGGGGCTGTGCGAGCTTCCTCCACCCACCACTCTGCTGATGCCCCTCAATCTGACCTGTACCCCCGGCCTCCACTGCTTTCCCAGACTTGGGCTGCCTCCACCCCACTGCTCTGCTGATGCCCCTCAATCCTGATTTGCACCCCTGGCCCCCATTGCTTTTCCAGCCTAGGGCTCCCACTGCTACTCCACGCCACAGCTCTGCCCACGCGCCTCTGTCTAGCCGTACAACTCCCTCTGCGATCCAAGCCCTGGACTCCCCTTACTCAGCTCTGCTGGTGCCCCTGAGTCCTCCCACTGGCTCTTGTCTCTGCTAGATTCCAGAGATCAGTTGCTTCCTATGGATTCAGAACCTGCTCTCCATCTGGCTAGAACAACCGATTCACAGCCAGGGGCAGGATCCCAGTGTTGGGGCAGAGGAAGCCCCCCATTTATGGCAGCCGAGTTGTCTGTGTGAAGTTCCTCCCCGTTACAGGCAGACGGAAGTGAGTTTGCAGGCTCTCTGCTCTGGGCCTGCCATACTCTAGGTGTGTCTGTCAGCAGGGGACGCAATACTATCTGGGCCTCATTGAAATCTTTCTGGGGAAATGCATTTCCCGGAGCTTGCAACCAGAGAGCTGAGGCACGTCCCCTCACGCATGGTGCAGGAGCCTGCACAAAGCAAGATGTTGGCAGCTTTGTCCCTCAGTTTACAGGCTCCAAAACATCCACTTAATTTAGATTTAATAAGACAACTCTTGTGCATCAACCAAATGATTGGAACCAGCTCTGCTGGGCGGCTCTCCAGAGCTGTTAATCCACCGTCGATTTGTTTTTAATCATCACTTTGTATTTAGCATCCAAAACCCACTTTATTGAATCAAAATGAAAGGGGGCCCTCACCGGAGTGGGGAGCCAGCGCCTGCCTCTGCTGCCTCTCAAATCAAGGCACAGGGAGGGAACGGGATGCTGTCCCCTAAATTAATCTCTTTCTATTTCCAAGGCTGCCATTGCTTTCCTGCCACGCTGGAGGGTAAGGCAGCCCCAGAGCTTGACTCCTCGGTACCGTTAGGCTCAGAGAGGGAGGACGGCCCAGTGGTTAGGGCACTAGCCTGGGACGTGGGAGACTTGGGAAGGGCCCAAGAGCAGTGCAGAGCCATTTGGAGGGGGAAAGGAGATAAATGAGGGGAGCATAGGGGCTGCTGGGGTCATGGGAATAGGGATCGGGGCAGTAGGGAAGAAGGAGAGGCTTACAGTTAAGACAGTGGCCTAGCACTGTGGACTCATGGGTTCCCATCCTGGTTCCGCCCCATCCTTGGACCCGAAGTGTCAAAGCTGGGTGACTAAGGACATGCCCTAATTTCCAGAGGTGCTGAGCAGCTGCAGGTCCGATAGCAGGATGGAGCCCAGGACTCCACCTCTCCCCTAGGGCCACCCCGGGGTGCCCCGTCCCTAAAGCTTTGCTCTCTGCTCCTTCATTGCAGCTCTTTGGAGATGACCTGCTATGACAGCGACGAAGCCAACCCCAGGAGCGTGTCCAGCCTGTCCAACCGCTCCTCCCCCCTGTCCTGGCGCTATGGGCAATCCAGCCCCCGGCTGCAGGCCGGGGATGCTCCCTCAGTGGGTGGGAGTTGCCGGTCAGAAGGCACCCCCAGCTGGTACATGCACGGCGAGCGGGCGCACTATTCCCACACCATGCCCATGCGCAGCCCCAGCAAGCTGAGCCACATCTCCCGGCTGGAGCTCGTCGAGTCGCTGGACGCCGACGACGTGGATCTGAAGTCCGGGTACATGAGCGACAGCGACCTGATGGGGAAGACCCTGACGGAGGATGACGACATCACCACGGGGTGAGTGCCGCTGCTGGCGCTAGACAGATTCCGACTGGAAATAAGGCATACGTTTTTAACCGGGAGAGTCATTGACACTGGAACGACTTACAAGGACTGTGAGGGATCCAAAGATTGGATTCTTTTCTAAATGATCTGCTCTAGGGATTATTGTGGGGAAGTTCTCTGACTTGCATTATACAGGAGATCAGACTAGATGATCACAACGGTCCCTTCAGCCTTGGAATCTGAGTCTACGAGATTGAGAGAGAGACAGAAAGAGCAGATGGATGGATGGATAGATAGATGGGTGCATAGAGGGATGGATGGATCGATGCATGGTGGGTGGATGGATAGATAGATGGGTGCATAGAGGGATGGATGGATAGATGCATGTCGGGGGGTGGGTGGATGGATGGATGGATGGATAGATGGATGGATGGATGGATAATTATATACATCACAGAATCCTTCCCCCACCCACTATATTTCTAGTAGGTTCCATACTTTGTGGCGGGTGATAATTAGTATCTGGTGGCCTGCAGAGATGGTGCTCCTTGCTGTGCCAGGCCAGTGGGCCAGCATCCTGTAAGGTGCTGTTGTGCCCTGGGCAGAGTGGCGTGTTTGGGAGGAATACAGGCTGCATGGGGCAGCTCTGGAAGTGTCTTTTATCTGACGTAGGCAGCATCTGGGGATCAGCAAAGCTAATGGCAACGATACTGTGTTGAGAGCCAGGCCTGGTGCTGAACTAGCCCTGCTAGACTGAGGGTTTGTCTGCACTGCAGCTGGGAGGGAGCGTCCCAGCTCAGGTAGACACACACGCTGTGCTCAAGGTACAAATGGCAGCATGGCCACAACAGGTCGAGCTATCTCCTGAGTGTGTTCCCAGGGGGTTGGGTGGCCACTGCCCGTGCCATCACCGCAGCCACACTGCTATTTGTAGCGCACTAATTCGAGCAGAGCTAGTGTGTGTCAGTCTCTGCCCCTGCTGGGAAGCACCTCCCAGCTGCTCTGCGGCTGGATCCTGGGGAACCACGGGACAATACTCAGGTGCATCGTTGCAGAGGGCTGGGAAGGAGTGCTGAATAACCACGGGGAAGCTGGCGGGCTTCGGAGCTATTCCGCAATGTGAGCCATTCACTCCTCGCTCAGGTCCTCAGATCTGGGGCTTCGTATTCCAATGACCATCTGGCTGTATTTGCCACTTGGTCTTTGATCCGGCTTTAGTACTTGCTCCTTCCACAGCGACTAGGGTGAGAAATTAACGTGTTAGAGCATCTGCCGTGCGCTTCTGCAAAGGACCAGATCCTCAGCTGGTGTAAAACAGTGTAGCCCCATTGACTTCAGTAGTTCTGTGCTGATTTACACTAGTTGAGAATCTGGTCCTTTAGTGGTTTGGGGGAGATAAGCTGCCTAACCAGCGGACAGTTGGTGAAGGAGAGGGAAAAGCATGACTGTAATCAGAAGGACGTGATTTCAAGGCCCAGTGTCTCAGGACCTGATAGGGCTAGAACCAGCAAAGATGCTTTCAGTGCTCTGCAGATTTTTCTTGAGTACCAGTCTGGGATCGGTGGGAGATGGTACTAACTGCTCCCTGGTGCACATGGGATTAAACTCAGCTCACCTTCTCTTCACCACCCTTATCCCCCACATCAGGGAAAGGCTACAAATGGACTGGGTGGGAGAAAGTATCTTAGGGAAAGTCAGTCGCAATAGCCAGGGTGACAGGAGCAGGACTGGGTTAGCCGCAGGCTGTGATGTTTTCTGTGCCACCTCTCTTTGGTTTATGGCAGTGTGTATGTGATCCCTGGTTAGAGACGATACCGGAGGAAAAGCCAGCTGACTGCATGCACCTGTGCTGTTGGAATGTTTGCTGAGCCATCCCAGGGAGAGGAAGGAGAGCACGGCTCCAAGGCAGCTCGCCCTGGGTCTGCTGGGACCCCAGCAGTGGTTAAAAGCAGCCAGGAAGGGGATCAACCAATAATTCCTGATCAACTCTCCGAGGCAGGATGTCCAGAAACACCTCCCTCGTGTCCTTCTCGCAGTAGCCCAGCTGGTCCATACACACACTCCATGTGAGCAGAGACGGGGGCCCTGATCCTGGGTTGTGCTCAGCTCTGTCCATTGACCGTTGACATCAGTGGGCGTGGAGGGGATCTCATTTGATACAGCCCAGCCTTGTCTGTTCCTCGCTGTGTGTCAGAAATGGAAACTCACAGGGAGAGAGACGATGTCATGAGTTTCCCATTTATCCCTGGAAGTATTAAAAGGGGGGGGGGGGAGAAATAGGCCAAACATCCTTCCAGGGATGGGGCATCGCCTTGATCCTAAAAATACCCCTGCAGCATGGAGAGAGCTCTGTACAAGTCCTCGTTAATTTCACAGCTCTGGGCCGCAGATGTGTAACCAACGAGGCCTGAGTCCAGTGACTCTGCCATACCTCCCGGCTGTTACAATCAGTGGGCATTCAAGTGGAGGGGCAGATGGATCCCAGTCCCTGCTGCACGGGAGCAGGGCGCTGCAAAGGGGAAATCCGTATTGGAGATCTTGTTCCGTCCCCAGGGGGTGCTGGGTCATTCAGTGCCCCGCAGCAGCACTCTGCCTCTTGTGGGTCCCCCACTAGAAGGTGAGACTGCTCAGCACCTGGCAGGATCAGACCCTGAGGCTAGCGGGAGTCGGCAGCCAGCCAATCCCTGCAAAGAGCTGCATCCAGTCTCCCCAGCCCATTTGAGTTCTCCTCCACCCTTGCCCAGGAGAGGTTTCTGGTGCCAAGTAATGCTGTGAAAGTGGCTGTTAGAAGGGGACAGATGGGTGGGACTTTTTGGATTTAAAGCATGTGTTGTTTTCTTTTGAAACGCAGCCCTCCCCATGCTGATCCCATCGAGCTCTTGAGATTCCGCCTGGGGGGGTTTGTGTTGAACAAAAATCCAGTCCCCGTCTCTTCCCCGCCCCCGCCTCTGACTCAAGGCCAGAATTTCAGCACATTGGAGGTTTCCTGTTTCAACGCATGAGAAAATAAATAATCCTGGTATTTGATTTGTCCCAGAGCATGGGGAGGTATTTGGCCTTCTACGCTGCTTACAGCTCCTAGTCATGCCAGCTGCTTGTGGTGTGTGGTGAGAGCCCGCAGCTCTGGTGGGTGTCTTGGGGACTCTCTGACACACAGGGCCGGCTCCAGGGTTTTTGCTGCCCCAAGCAGCCAAAAAAAAAAAAAAGCTGCGATCGCAATCTGTGGCGGCAATTCGGCGGGAGGTCCTTCGCTCCAAGCAGGAGTGAGGCACCGTCCGCCAAATTGCCGCCGAATAGCTGGACATGCCGCCCCTCTCCGGAGTGGCCGCCCCAGGCACCTGCTTGCCAAGCTGGTGCCTAGAACTGGCCCTGCTGACACATGATGAGGCCAGTAACCCTGTATGTTTCTCCTGATCCCAAATGGCCACTCTGTTCAAGGAGCCCTGTCCCTTAACAGCTTCAGTCCTTTTCTTTTTGGCCTATGTGGGTGAGAAACAAAGGCAGCTGTGGGGGGGAGGGAGAGGGCTGTGATAGCCACATATGCTGACTTAGCGCAGGTCCCCTTGTCTCCCGGGAAGTGGCTGCTCCCAGAGACACATGTAAAGAGGATTGGGTCTCTGCGTTGCCCCTTTGGGGCATGTCTACACTGCCATTAAAAAACCACAGCTGGCCTCTGCCAGATGACTTGGGCTAAGGGGCTCGGGCTAAGGGGCTGTTTCATTGTGGTGTAGACACTCGGGCTGGAGCCCTGGTTCTAGGACCCTGAGAGATGGGAGGGTCCCAGAGCTCAGGGAATGTCTGCACCACAATTAAACAGCCCCTTAGCCCGAGTCAGCTGGCACGGGCCAGCCACGGGTGTCTGAACTGCAGTGTAGCCAGACCCTTAGAGCCCATAGTGTCCATACTGTATGGACGTGGACTTGGCTTGTTATGCTGATTGCTGCTGCCCTCTTTGGGAGGTTCGATAGGAGCCTAGAGCAGAAGCCAGGCAGGGCTCTGAGGCTGCCTGGGGGAGACAGAGCCAGTTTGGGATCTGACCTACAGCCCGACATCCAGGGAAGTCTTCCCGAGACAGAGCCTGCCAGCTCCCTCTGCGCTCAGCTGACCGGGCTTCTGCTCTCGGGGCTTTAGGAGCCGGAAGAGTTGGGGCCCCGAGCTCCTTTTTTGGAAAGTCTGATGACTGTAGGGTTTAAGGCTGGTAGGAAAAGGCTGGCTGGCTGCGGGGATGGGGGTTACCGGCTTGCAGTTCTAGGTCACGGGTTCAGATCCTACCTGGAGTGGTAATGATGTTGCATTATTGTCTACTGGTGGCTGCTCATTGGGCTTTGGTGATGTGGCGGTGGTGGGTCTCTGTACAGGTTGTGGCCATGTGAACACATCATAGGGCACTAAGTGACTTTCTTTACTGTGGCTAAAGGCTGAAAATGGGCCAGAGCGACTGATCTCCTTGAGCTGCCCTAGAGAGGGATGTTGCCCCTTTGGCCCAAGTGGTAGCCATATCCAGGGCCTTGCAGGGTTGTTTCTGTCAAGAGGAGAAATCGATGCTGTGACTCAGGTCGGTTGTTGGTGGGATCTGGTTTATTTACAAAGAACGTGCATGCAGGCCCGTCCCCCTGAACACCGCAGAAACTAGGAGCAGCAGGCAGGTTCCTCGCTCAGAGATCCCCATGCCTGCCCCTCCAGCGAGCTCTGTGCCCAAGAAGCTCCATCTGGCTGCTTGATGCTTCCTCTCAAGATCAGGCTCACAGCTCCTTCTCCTGGCTCTCTGCCTCCAACACACACAGCTCGCAACCTCCCAGCTCCTGCATTTGCAAGCAGGGAAACCCCTCAGCCCACACAGATTAGCTGTGACTGCCATGTGGCCTGTTGCTTTGGGCGGTCTCCCACGTTGTCTGCATCTGTCTTTAGGCTTCATTGCTCCCATTGAACCTAAAAGAAGGGTGTTTAGCATCCATTGCCTTTAACAAGGTCAGTGCTGATCTTTGGATTAAAATCCCGCACCCCACCCGCAT